AAAGTAGCTAATTTTAATTTAACTTAACACTTTCGCCACCGCAGCGAGGCCCACCGTAGCGAAAGTGTTAAGAAAAAGTGTCTTATTCGAGTTGACTGATTTGAGAGGGGTTTCACTTCACCTTAATTTGCCATGACTAAGTATCGTTTGAATGTGTTAATGTTTTTTACGATGCTTGCAGTTCGTGAGGTATCTAGAATCTCAAGAAGGCGACAATATTGAAAAGATACGCGACGTCTACTGCAGAGCGTGCACCGTTCATCATCCTAAGAAACCCAACTTGCACTTGCAATGGGCGACATTTGAAGAAGGACAAGGCAATTTCGTAAAAGCCGCGGAAATTTTAGAGAACATTGATAGCGTAATGCCGAACATGTTGCAGATAGCTTACAGACGAGTCAATTTGGAGCGCCGCCGCGGCGATTTGGAGAAGGCCTGCACCCTCTATGAGAATTACATTACCAACAGCAAAAACCGAACGATCGCTAATAACATTGCTGTAAAATACGCCCGGTTCCTCTGCAAAGTTAAGAACGACATCGACAAGGCGGTGAAAGTATTGCTGAAGGTACACTTTTGCCTATATTGAATTACTTGAGAAATTTTCGTTAGAACGTCCGTTAATGTTTCTCGTTTTACAATTTCTAAGTCAATCTTTCCTAAATTATATACAGTCTTGGTTATATTAAGTTTCTTGAGAAGTTTTTATTAGAATGTCTACCAAGAATCCTCAATTTACAATTTCAACGTCAATTTTTCTTAAATTGAACATTTTTGGTTATATTAAGATGATATGAAAGCCGCTGAGAAATTTAATCTAGGTCAAGAAATTAAAATTCATGTATACCCTTTTTGGTAGTAACGTCATTTTAAATACTTAAGTGGCAACATATGCTAACGCGTCCAGTTACCGACATTTATATTTATGTTGAAGTCTTTTACAGTCTACGTTGAGAATTATAGGAATTAAAGCGTTCCATATGTCATTTCGGTAAAGTAATGATGTAAAAATCAACGTAATGCTGTTAGAATCCCGTACATTCATTATTTTAACGACTGTTTAGGACCAACGTCGCCACCTGTGACGTTTAGATGTAACTAAATTTTTCAGATATATCAGGGGTACCCATAGGTAATCAGGTATTTTGAAAGAGGTGTTTAACGTGAAAAAAATTGATTACTTATGGGTGCCCCGAATATTTAGGTTCACTCTTTCATATCACCTTAAATTACTTGTGAAGTTTTCATTAGAACGCCTGCTAATAATCATCTCTTTACAATTACAACGTCAATCTTTTCGAAATTACACACTTTTAACCATATGTTAAATTTCTTGAGAAGTTTTCATCAAAAGGTCTGATACGAATTATCGTTTTACAATTTCAACGTAAATCTTTCCTAAATGTCATATGCGCAATATTTCTTGGATGTGTGCGTTCATATCCTTATTAATTATTCTTTTTTTCTTCCCCATGGCTTTCAGGCAACAGAGAAGGATAAGGACAACCCGAGGTTATACCTACAATTGATAGATCTAGGCTTGCAACGAAATCCGGTTGACACGCAAGAAGTAGTAGGATACATGGACATGTTCATTGACCGAGAACACGCCGATCTCGAGCAGAGGGTTCTCTTCGCCCAGCGTAAAGTGGAATTCCTCGAAGACTTTAGTCCCGACATTCGACAAGTGTTGAAGGCTCACGAGCAATTCCAGAAGTGCATCAAACAAGCCAAGGAACGCAAGAAAGCGAAGAACGACGATGGGAAAGGGTAAGCGCACCTCTTGTACATGGGACATATTTCTATACATAAACCCAGATCCAGGGTTGGGTAATTTCACGATTTTCGAGGTTTTTCACGTATATTACGTAAATCAAGTAGTTTACCGTTCAAATACGAGTTTATCGATTACCATAGTGTTCAAAATTGTCGTAAAATTGTTCCTTTCGTTTCTCATATCGGAGCCTTCAATAATTGTATATTGATCGAAATATGAGAGCTCGACGCCATTTTGGTTCTGGTCTGGGCTGAGTTAAAGAATTTTTTTCAAAAATCCAAATTTTGAATATCAGGACAATTCTTAGATGATCACGAGTCATGTGTCAAAGTTTCGGACAGTTTGGTCCAATACCCTTAAAAAAAAAAGTGTTGTATTCGAATCGACTGATTTGAAGGGGGTTTCACTTCACCTTAAACACATATGGCCTCCCACTGTTAGCGATCTAGGTTTATGTATAGAAATCTGTGGTACATGGTGACACGACTAGGATGAATCTCTGACCGGCATTACATATCTTTTACCTCGTGTCACAGAGATTTGTCGCCGTTGAAGAAGGTCAAGATGGGAGATCAAACGAACGTCCCGCCTCCGCCATCGGTCAGTTCCCAATCTTCATACCAGTACAGCAGTGGGCCCAGTGGTCCCTATCAATCCCAACAACAATTTCAAAGCGGCCAGTACGGGGGACAAGGAGGATACCAGCAAGGCTATCAACAGTACCCACCTCCGTCGGACCCTAATTACGCGAATTACCAGAACTGGCAGTACGGCCAAGGTGGACCGCAAGCGTACGGTCCATACAACCAATGGGGCTCCTACAATTACTACTAATATGACGCATTTCACCGTTGGTACATGGATTATCTCGTGTACTGTACATTCTACGGCTTTTACGTATGTGCTCTGCACACGTATAAAAAAGCGTTACGATATTTTACGCGCTCCGGTTATGTCGAAAAGAAAAAAAAAGGAACAAAAACGAACGGCTGCGCTGTTGGAATGTTGACTACGAGCTTGGCCAGGAGTTCGGGGTGTAAGTTAAACGATGGCATAAACGGGGGTTAATATTAACTTGCACGGACTTTAATGGTAGCGGTCCCTCTACTTGGGACTTTTAAATTCGATCTGTGAAGTGCTCACTCACACTGTGCCGTTCTTTAACGGCCAATTGGAAAGAAAGAAATACCTTTAGGGGAAGTGCGATTCGATACGGCGCGATTTCGCCTTGTCAAAGAATTCAGAAGTCAACGTAGAAGCCTGGAAGGATACGGACGTTCGATGCTCGATAAATAGTACGTTAGCCAACAGATGGCGGCGCTGTGATCACCTCTCCATCTCTCTCAATCTTATGGCGATATATAGCGAGTTGTATTCTTTCTTTATCTTACACCCAATACTGATCTTTCTATACGCGTCTCGCTTCTTTCCGTATGTGAGATATCGCTATTAACATTGTTTATTTGTATTATTACTATATTAACGCTGGCTAACACATGCGATTTCTCTTTTACCCTCAATTCCGGTTTGTTAGCCAACTTTTGGAGCATCAAGCGCTAACATAGGATCTGGGCTTCTATGGGACTTCTGAATTAATTGGCCTGGTCGTGTCTTTTACTTTTTTTACATAATACCGTACAGCGTGTGTCATTGATCTGAGAACAATTGCAAGACATCCCGCGCACTAATCTAGTAATGCCCGAAACTATTGATTTAACGATGATGTCATTGTCAAACGTTTTTCCCTGTAATTTGTAGATTTATGACCTTACCAACGGTCGCACGATTCAACGCAGCGTATTTTCTTTCTTCTTTTTCTTATTTTTTTGCTTTACCGCGCGAAATGCGACGCGGTTTTTCCATTGTTATTGAAATCCGTGAACATCCCGTTGTTCGGGTAGAACGTAAAAATTATTTCCTTCTTAATGATCCCGCGACGTGATTTATGGCCGATACATTTATTGTATATTTCCGTGGTCCTTTGTAATAAGATTTCAATACGACGCGTTAATATTTTTGTGTTACGAGGAATATTGCGCTGCGTTGTATTGGCGGTCCAACGGTATGCCAAATGCGCAATTGATTTTTCAAATAAATCCTAACTGAACGTGAGATCAATTTATTAACGATTGAGAGTTACGACGATTCTGATTTTATGTAGACTTTGTAGGCTGTCGAATGCTTGCAAGAGTGACACGTGTATACATAAAAGAAATTGGAAGATTGGTGTGGTTTCTTTCAGTAGCTATAACAGCTGACACTTGTTACACCCTGCGTTTCGATTTTGTATATAACGACTTTTGTTTTACAGAAATTTAGTTTACGAGAAACGCCGTGTTTTCTCCTCTGTCGAGGGGCAATTCTCTGGTACCGATTTATAGCACGGAATTCGGAGGGGGGGGACAAAAGAAAAAAAGAAAAAGTGACGGTCTTCGGAAGGATGTATACGTGTATTAAGTAATTATTTTTATTAATTAAAAAAATATCACAATATTAGATACCGAACAAAGCTGTCGAGTCAACAAAGTTCACATAAACTGTTCTGCAGTAAAATCGTTGTACCAAATGCATAGTAATAAATTATATTCTTAGGCGTTGTCTTCAATAAAAGTTTGCGATCTGCGAGATTACTTTTTCCCTTGCTACGTTATAAAGTACAGTTTACAATAGTACGTATAAATTACATTTGTTCATTCACTCGATGAGTTCTACTGCTCCTTCGCACTCGTTTATTCCCTCATTACTTCTATGAGGGGAAACATTAAAATTTGGCACACTCGACTCCAAATATTCTCAATATCTTGGCGTTGGTGTTTAGAAAAAAAAACCTACCATACATTTTCTCTTCCCTTTTTTTTTCCTTTTTCTTTTTTTCAACAATGAGTATTGTAATATTAAGATATTAGAGATGTACTCTTTTACCGTATTGTATGTCAATTCTAAGAGCCCAACCTAATTGATTTTTCGTCTAGCCTGCTCAAAATTAACCAGATTCATTTTTTACTAGTTAAGAAAATCCTATCGTTCTATTTGACTTTTAAAGTCAACACTCGTGACGTAAGTGTGCTACAATTCTTACATCGTCAAACGCTTTTAGCGACAAATCCCTCTCGATTTTTTTTATTTTGACAGTACGGTAAAGAATAGCTTGGCTTCCGCATAACGTACGTCCATAAAATTGAGTTCATATTAAAATGTTAATCATCTTTAAGAANGTAATAATTCTACATTATATGATATTAATGTATCTTTTGAATAATATTCGTTATATATCATGTTATTCCAATGTTATGCAATTGTAACGTAGTGTGTTTGGGGACATATGTCAGGGTCGATCGTTAATTTGCATTCGTGTCCTTTAGAACGACGCAGAGGCCGCACGAGAAGCTTACACGAAATTTCTGGAACGCTACCCATACTGCTACGGCTACTGGAGGAAGTTTGCTGATTACGAGAAGAAGAAGGGGAACCCAGAGAACGTCCAAACGGTGAGTCGATTCGTTTGGTGTTTCTGCTAGGTTAAATCGCATCATTGTACATGAGTTAATTAACGAAATCTAATGAAACTAGCTCGAGTTAGGAAGGCGCGTGGGCGGTGTGCACGCACGTAAATATGGTTTTCCCTTTCAACAGCCTAGCACGTCTTGCGGCACCTATACGACTCTCTTCGTTTACCGAGTAGCTACTTATTTAATTATTCTATTACCATGCTATTACGTATTATTGTCATATCGTAATCGATATATCAATACTATACACAGAAATACGTATGTCAAGTCGAAGCTTGTCGTCTCCACATACAAAGTACCGCCGTGAGAATTATGTGTGTGTTATATTTACCATAAGAAGTTCTACGCGTAGCGTACGTACGTATGGAAAAAGTATTGTAATTAAGCATAAGGCTGCGATATATACCTTACTTATACATAAGTAAGATGGGTCGGGTGTTGAGTCAAAGTCAGAGACAAAGACTTAGGACGTGCACGGGCCAGAGAGGGAGCAAGAGAGTGGCGGGACAGAGAGACAGAGGCTTCTCGAACGGGACGCGCCCTGATTTTAAGGTGAATGCACAATGCTCTGCAATCTCTGTGTTAATTATATCTGTTTATTTACAGTCCGCGTACGATACGTGAGTATACTCGTTACTATAAAACCGTAATGCTTAACCAACGCTAAGACAAAACTAGGTTTAACCGTACTCCTCGCGAGCCCACCTGGTCGTAGACCGTTCTAAACGTTTCCACGATCGTTACGCAGGTGTTCGATCAAGGATTGAAAGCTATTTCGCTCAGCGTCGACCTTTGGCTGCACTACATCAACCACTGCAAAACCGTCTACGAGAAAGATGAAGAGAAAATGCGGGAGCAGTACGAGAGAGCCATCCGAGCCTGCGGCTTGGAATTCAGGTGAGGGTTTGCGGGCACTCTGGAATTATTCATGGAGCTTCCGTTACTGGGACTAACCCAGATATTCATGTTTCAGGTCCGATCGACTTTGGGAGAGTTACATCAAGTGGGAATTGGGGGGGAAGCGGCTCAGCAAAGTCACTGCCCTCTATGACCGACTTTTGTGCACTCCCACGCTTGGGTATATCACGCATTTCGAGGCATTCCAAGAATTCGTCTCGTCGAATCTTCCAAACCGCATTCTGAGCGTCGATGATTTTCTCGCACTACGGGCCGAAGTTAAGGCGCTCTTGAAGTCCGAGGACACCACTCCGGCTTCTACCGATGATGCGCCACCAGGAGAAGAACCCCCACCTCATGAGGTACCTCCTACCGACGAAGAAACCAGAGCCATCCGAGAAAAGATTATTAGCAGTAGGCGCAAAATGCACAAAGCGAATGTTAACGCAGTCGCCGCAAGGTGGTCTTACGAGGAAGGGGTAATTATACGCTTCTTTCTTTCTATTGTCACAATTTTAATTAATAAGTCGCATCGTTAAGGTGATATGAGAGAGTCAGCCTGTATACATCTGAGAAGTCAAATTGTTGGAGAAAGTATTCTCCGAATTGGGTGTACCGATTCGTTTCAAATTTTACCACGTGAATGTGGAGGCCTTAACGCGTAGGTCCTAAAACTCACGAAATTTTATTTTTCATAAAAATTTTATTTATTTATCACGGACTGGAACCAACATGGCGTGGTCCGGGCACGTCTTCGATGTTTTATGCTTCTTGGAGGCTTAGAATCGAAAATGAAGCGTTTCAGGATCTAGATCGAATAATGCAGAATACTGTAGAATTGGAATATTACAGTCGGATGGGAAAATATGGAAAATTCATTCACAAACGATTGCAAGAGAATGCTGGCTCGTCCCGGGGCTACCACGGTGCTTTTACAGCAAAAATTTAGTTGCAGTTAATCGTCACAGATGGCGACGTTGGTCCTAAACAGTCGTTAAAATAATGAATTCACGGGATTTCGACAGTTTTACGTCGATATCTTCATCATTACTTTACCGAAATGACATATGGAACGCTTTAGTTCGTATAAATTCTCAACATAGACTGTAAAAGACTTCAACATAAATATAAATGTCGATAACGGGACGCGTTAGCTTATGTTGCCACTTAAATATTTAAAATGACGTTACCACCAAAAAGGGTATACATGAATTTTAATTTATTGATCTTGATTAAATTTCTCAGCGGCTTTCATATCATCTTAAGGGGGTGCAAAAATGGCATCCGGGGAGTCAATCAATTGTGAAGTTTCTCTCTGAACCAGGTTTACCGAATCATTTCAAACTTTACTACGTGATTAGGGAGGCTATATGATAGGTCCTGGCGCCTATAATATTTCATTTTTTCTACAAAATTTATTAAGTATCTATAAACAAATTTTTCAAAATTGAAATTTCATGGGTGTCAAACCTTCCGTACAGTCGCTATATTCATGCTGTAAAGTTTGAAACGATTCGGTATGCCCAGTTGAGAGAAAAGTTTCATAAATGAGACCTCTGACGCCACTTTCACGTGACCTTTAACAACAATGTGGAGTACCATGATTCAACTGATTTGTATTGTATATATGACACATGTATGACATGTATGTATAATATAAATTGTGAATAACAAAAAAATGTATCACGTATATTTAGCGTGCGTGAAATCTTATAGAATAATAATGTATCGTGGATTTTAATTTCAGATCAAGAGACCGTACTTCCACGTGAAGCCTCTGGAACGTTGTCAACTGAAGAACTGGAAGGAATATTTGGATTTTGAAATCGAACAGAAAGATCAGAATCGTATAATCATCCTGTTTGAACGCTGCCTTATCGCTTGTGCATTGTATGACGAATTTTGGATGAGGGTATGTTGCCGATTTTATTGTATATCCAAGGTGAAGTGAAACACGTCGAGGAACTTGATCGACGTCGGTAAAAAAAATTGTTCTAAATACCTAAGTTGCCGACGTTCGCTTTTATATTGACAGCTGTGTCGAATTATATTGGGTATTTTACACAAATGGCATACTCCACCTGTCATTTTCGTACAATAATTATAAAAAAAATCGAAGTAAAACTTCAGAAATCCTCTGGATTCGTGCATTCTGAGGCCCTAGTTGACTGTAGAGAGACCCCCTGCGCCATCTGTGATTTCCGGGTCAATTAAATTTTCACTCCGAGATCTCGTATTTCCATCGTTTTAGCATAGAAGCGCATAAAACTCTTTTTCTGCCTTTATCCCGTTCAAATACTAGTTTATCGATTACCAGAGTGTTCTAAATTGTCCTGACCCTTTCGTTTCTCATATCGGAGCCTTCGATAATTGTATATTGCCCGAAATACGAGAGCTCGACGTCATTTTGGTTCTGATCTGGGCTAAGTTGAACTTTTCATTTTTAAAATCCAAATTTTGAAAGTGTCAGAATAATTTTTTTAGTGCTCACGAGTCATGTGTCAATGTTTCGGACAGTTCGATTCAATTCCCTTAACCCTTTCGCTACGACGGGTGACTATAGCAAAGAATTTAGAAGTCTCCATAGAAGCCCAGAAGAATACGGACGTTCGATGCTCGATAAATAGTACCTTAGCCAACGGATGGCGGCGCTGTAATCATCTCTCCATCTCTCTTAATCTTATGGCGATATATAGCGAATTGCATTCTTTCTTTTTCTTACACCCAATACTCACCTTTCTATATGCGTCTCTCTTCCTCCCGTATGTGAGATATTGTTGGCGATCTCTTTTACCCCCACTTCCGGTTTGTTAGCCAACTTTTAGAGTATCAAGCGCTAACATACGCTCTGGGTTTCTATGGGATTTCTGAAATCTTTGACTATAGTCGCTCGCCATAAAACGCCACCTACCCACGAATGCTGAAGCGCACAATGGTTACACTTTTGGCGCAGCGCCCCGTCCTACGGAAGGAATATTAACATTAACTTTTTAATTTAATTAAA